TCACTTGGGTAACCTGCTAGCTAAATATAGATAAGATATGAAAATTAAATAATGAAATTAAATAATGCACACTATGTTAATCACTACTTTGTCCTATTGATTGGATCTACCCTATGAACCAATGAGACATACCTTGTATCATATGTGTCACATGATCTAAAAATAGAACTACAGTAATACGATAGACAAAAACTATAGATAATAATTAAAGGAAAATAGGACTAATAATTAAGGCTAACACTAGACATAACTGTTAGAAGATATTATACTAAAACAATATAAATTATCCATTTATCACAGGTGGATAAAAAATACTATTCAAAGAAGATTAAAACCAAGTGTATTACTTGAAATAAAGACTTTCACTAGGTAATAAGTCTTCTTAGATAGTATACAAGAAAGTAATTAAGATCAATAATAGATATATTCCTTAGATGGTTAGAAAAAGAAAAAATATTTAAATTGGATATTTTTTATTAAGAAGAGGTCTTGAGAAGCAAATCTTTAGAAGAAGTTGAAAATCTTTTTTTCAATTTTTACTATTTTATTTTTTTGTAATTTATTTAGACTTTTTTAGATATCTATCTTTCTCTTTTCAATCCATTTTTTTAAATTTTTTGTATTCTAATAACTTGGTTTGATATATGTTAGTAACAACTTGCTGATAATAATACAATAAACTAGAATAGTTTTACCTAAAGATTCTGTAGAGTGCAATATTATTTCAAAATAAAACTTAGAGATTTTTATACTTGCGATGGGTTAGTTAGATTAGAATAATTGTTTGGTTATAATATATATTATAATAATCAAATAAAAATGTATTTTTGTTTTCAATTAATTAATAAACTAATGATTTAGTCTGACTACAAGTACTCTAAAAAAAAAAATTAAATATATAATTATAATTAAAAATTTGTTTATATTTCAAAATTAATATAGTTTATATTAATTAATTATTTTTATATTATTTAAAAAATTAAAATTTAAAAAAAATAAAATTTTCTTAAATATTTAATAATTATTTTATTTTTTTAAAAAACTTTTTTATTATTAGTAAAAAATACCATTTAAATTTTTTGACTATTAAAAATCAAAATTTTGATTAAAAAACTTTTAAGTTATTTTAAAAATAGTAATAAAATCCATTTAATTAAAAAAAAATAATAAATTTTTTTTTTATTTTTTTAATCTATAACTATATTATATAGCTTAATTTTTATTGAAAACCTTATATAACTATCTATAGATATTACAGATTTTTTATATAATAATTACTTATCAAGTATTAGATTAGAATAGCTTAAAAAATATATAAAGACCTTAAATTCTAACTAGAAAAGTCTTTTTATTATTTATAAAATTTTTAAAAAATGGAATTTTGTAATATATATTATTTATCTTTTATTTTTTGATATTTTAAATATCTTTTTAAAGAACTTAAAGCTTTTAAAAAAATTTTTTTTAAACTTTCTTTTTAATTACTATTGATATCATTAAAATATATAAGTATAATTAAAATAACTAATATGTTTTATATTAATTAATTATCTTTAGTAAAAATTTGTTATTTAAAATTCAGAATCAAAACTAAAATAAGTAAAATTTCTCAAAAACCATAAAGATAAAAGTTTTAAAAAAGATAAAATAAGTAATAAGGAAAAAAATAAGCCTTTTTACTATAACAGATTCTTTATAATTTTTCATTTTAAAGATCAAAAAGACTTTTAAATATTTTATAGTTTGTTTTTTTTTTTTTGAAAAATTTTTTATTATTGGTATCAAAGTATAACTTAATTTTTCTTGATTATTAAAAATTAAAATTTTGAGTGAAATGATTTTTAAATAAAAGGAAATAAGTAAATATAATTTTTGAAATTATATTTTATATTGTTTTAATAAAAGTATTAAGAAGTAAAAAAAAACTTTTTGTAAATATATTTTTTGTATTTAGTTAAAGAATTAATAGAAAAAGTGTAAAAAATAACAAAATTTTATATAACCTTAAACTTTATTTTATTTATTTTTTATTTTTTATTTAATTTTTTTTAATTTATAGTACTTTATTTTGTTTTAATATAAATTAATTTAATAAACTTTCTTATATTTTTAAGTGATTTAATTCTTTAATTAATAATACAAAAGATAGATCAATTCTTATATAAAAAGATTATTTTAATATTTTATTTACTAATTAATAAAAAACAAGTCACAATAATATAGTTATAAATTTATTCAAAATTAAAAAATATATTTTATTATATTTATAAAATACAGTATTTTTATTAAAATTGTTATAAAAATTTTTTTTCTTTTTTAAATAAATATGTTTTAAGAATAATTAAATAATCAAATATTGAAATAAAATTTATTAAATTTTTTAATATATCAATAAGAATATGTTTTATAAAATAAATTTAAAATTTTTATTTTGTTAATTAATAATTAATAATAATAATAATCGATAATTGATAATAATGTTAATTAATAATTCATAATAATATTAATTAATAATTGATAATAATATTAATTAATCTGTAGGCAATAATCTTACTAATTAAAGGCTAATTCAAATTAGCAAAGATATTATTTCCTAAGTTGCATCTAGAGATTGCGGGTGAAAAATAATAATAATAATAATAAAATATTAATAATTGATAATAATATTAATTGAAAATTGAATTAAAAATTGAATTAAAAATTGATAATAATATTAATTGATAATTGATAATAATATTAATTAAAAATTGATATTAATATTAATTGATAATTTAATTTGATAATACTGTATAGACAAAAAGAATATATTATCTGTGTTTTAAAACGAAAGAACCGTTTTTATTTGTGTGGCATAATAATGAAAGGTTCCCACGAAAACGACGTGGAGATCATTTCACGTATTGCGTATGACCTTCAGTGTTGAATCGCTGATAGGTAAATTAACCGAATTTCAGATGTACTGTATGTCTATGAAAGATAAGTGAGGTAATATGAAACTGTATAAAGACCGGGTTAATAATTCTAAGTATAAAAGAGCAGACATTTTACTTCCTCAAAATCACAAATAACTTTTCAACAAGACTTACAAAAAAAAAAAAATTTTTTTTTTAATAATGTTGTTAAAACGTACACTTTTCGCTGTTTTTATAGCCTTTTCTCTACTCGCGTTATGTCTCAACGCAACTCCCGTACCTCGTTGCTCCTCCAAAGCATCTGTCAATTTAATGGACACACTTGGCGGCAACGTTACATTCGAGCAGACTCGAGAATTAATTGTTACGCTTGGTGGAAGGTTTAGTGAAAACATAGAAACAAATAATCCCGACGATTACTTTATACAAATTGGGGAGGAAATCACAAGTACATTCTCCTTTAGGAAGATGGATGTAGAAATTAAACCACCTGGTACCTCTCACTTTTCGTATCCTTTATATGGAAGGTTAGGTTTATACGCCGGCAGAGATCTCAAGGTTCTTCACGGGACGTCTATTCTCGGTGGGGGACCAATTTTAAAAAGTTCCGCTTGTTAGTATATAATTTTTCGACACCATCACGAGCGATAGCGTCGTCATAACTTCATGTGTTCTTTCTTTGATAATATACACCGTCTCATTATCAGATCAAATCATTATGAAATTAATAGTATTTGGTGTATACAATAGAATAGTGATTAAAATAATAAAAAAATTTTTTATTATGCAATTAATAAAAATTTACTGTTGCGTGACTTTTTGTAAAAATATAAAAATGCAAAAATTTATCCAAACCTTGTATAAACCAAATGTTTTTCAAGACAGTTATCTATAGAGAAAAGGATAAAGGTCATTACCTTATTAGAAGAAGGTTATAGTTTATGTCAAGTTGCTGTTAAAATTGGTAACAATGTTTATTATTTCACTATATCAAGATTTAAAAAAAAATCTTGAAACAAGTAAATTAGAAATAGTTTAAATATGATTAAAAAATAACAAAATTAGAACTATTTCTTGATCATCAAAATCTTCAAATTTAAATCCAATAGAAAATATCTAGAATAATATTAAAAAAAGAGTTAATAATTTAAAGATTATATTTAAGGACAAAGAAATTCTCTAGAATAATTTATTAGAGATTTGAAATGAAATATCTAAAAAAACTTAAAGAAATATATAGAAACAATGTCTAAAAGAATTAATGATATTATTAAAGCAAAAAGTGATTATACAAGATAATAATAGAAATCAAATACTGTATATTTGTATAATTTTTTTTTTTTTTTTTGCTGGCTCAGCCTTGCTTTATTTGAATTTAGTAGAAAATTATATATGTCTATGTTCTAGCTACTTTTGTTTATCAAATAAAACTCAATAAGGGGTTAACCTATCTCGTGGCTTGTTGCCACCCTATAAGGGGAACTAACCTGCCAAGACTGGACTAGCGCTAAATAAAATTTCTAGTAAGTGATAAGGAGTTGTGATCAATTGAATACTTCTATAGATGTATTGATTAACTAGGTTAGTGAATTGATTTTTGATATGTTTCTCTCTTTTCTCGATCAATGGGTCTAGATGAATAGAGCTGTATTTGTGCAATTTTTCTGTGGCTCTTGTAATATCTTTCTGGTTTTTTCATGTTTGAAAACCTTCACATCTGTTTTGCCATATTTGTTATAGGTAGCATGTGATTTTTTCAGTGATTTCCTGAATACATGTTTTCTTTGTATTTTGACTAGGAATTAGTTTGCCTAAGATTGTGATCATTTCTTTTAAGATGCCTCCTCAGATAGCGACTTCCAGGTATCATTTGTAGTATAGTGCAGTGTTGTTTGAGTACTGTTTAAAAACATCTTTGGTTTTGTCATATTCACTAAATTTAGTGATGGTGTTTGTTATGGTGTTGATAATGAAATTGCCTGTGGAGTGTCTGAGTGTCTGACAGATAAAGGGTGTATGTTAGATTCTCTTTAACCACAGTTGATATATTTGTCATCTTTGTATAGTTTGAGAAGTCTATGATATAATTTTGCTTTTGTAGGAAGTTCTTCATTCTATAGTTGGAGTCTAAATTTTCTTTAATGTTGATCTTGTCAACAAATGAAGTAATTACTTATTTTTATGAGTTGTAGATTGTTTACTATCATGGGCCAATGGATTTCCCTTATGATGTGGTCGTCAAAATTGATTCTAGTCTGATTTAAAAGTCTCCATTTTGTTAGATGGACTGCATTTGTAATGCATTGAATCATTAGTTTGATAGAGATATCTATGGCTTCTTGATCCCATTGGAAAATGAGAATGAGTAATGGATTCATTGTTATGTTTGTGTGTATTATTCTACTATTTGGGGCCATGCCATATATTTGGTCTATACTTGCAAGTTTATCTGCTGCTTTGTTGTGTTCGATTTCTGAGTATGCCTTTACCTTGATTAACTTTAGTTTGATGCTTTTTTTTTTTTAGTATATCTTGAATTTATTGTAATAGATTAAAATTCTTTTGTTTTTTCAGTGCTTTGTTTGGTGTTAACTGTGCAATATTGTTGATACTGTTTATGGCAGCATTGCTGTCTATGAATATGTTGATGTGACTAAAGTTTAGTAAGATGCTAAGAGTGATGAGTATTGCCATGATCTCTGCTCTGGTAAATGATGGGTATTGTGTTGTTTGTCCTTGGAAGGTAAACTCTTTTCCTTCACTTGTAATGATTTTTATACCTATACTTATGAGCCATTTGCAGTTGAGTTCTTTGAGAGATCCATCAGTATGTATGTCAAAGATTATATGATCTTGTATCTTGGAGGCTAGGTTAGATAGTTTCTCAAGTATATGATTCTCTGTGCTGAAGAGTTTTCTGAGAAGATTGTCTAGATTTTGTGTTGCTGAGATACTAACTTCTACCTGATCGTGGATAGTGATTGTACTAAAGGTGCATAATACATTGAGTGTAGTGTGGATAGAATCTGGGGATACTCTACACCTAAATGTGCTACCCCCTATGTTGGGTGTATTGCTGGTGGTGACTTTGCTAAAATGAACAGGAATATTAATTGAGCTTTGGTGGCTAGCTGAAAAAGTATATGGATAATTGTTTGTGATTTTTGATGTTGCAGCCCATGCATTCAATTAGAGGTAATTGGTTATTAATTCTGTTGTAATGTCTGTATTTTGTTAAGTGTTCATTTAGTCTTTTCTGTTTTCTTCCCAGAATTATTTGATTGTTTAGTTCTGTGTTGATCCAATGTGGACGAGCTGTGTTTCAATTTGTAGATTGACTGCATTGTAAAAATGGATTGATTGGGGATTGTTGCAACTGGTTGTTCATAATCCCTTCTTGTATTCTGTTTTTGAGTGTGTGGTATCAAGCTGGAGTATGCCCTTGTATTGTTTGACAGTTGAGTCTGATTACTTGGCATCAATGCAATGTTTTTTCCCTCCTACTGTTTAGCATTTGACCGATGAAGAGAATGTTATGCTTCTTTAAGTTTTTTCTGTGTTGGTTATAGAAACTTTTACTTGTGACTTCTTCAATAGAGATATTTATTTCAGTGATTGTGACGTATCTTTCATTTAGTGTATTCTGAAAGAAGAATCTGTATGTTCTTAGTAGCCATATAATATCATGAGTGAGGTTTCTTCCTTGTGATAGCAGGGGGACATGTAAATAACTTATTATCATTTTTGTGAACCAGAATATATTTTGTAGCAATTGTAATCTTTCCCTAGCAATTTCTCTTGTAATGTTATTTTGGTTGATTCGAGAAGTCCAGTTTGTGGCATGGAATAGAAGTTGTCTGTCCCATAAGTGCATTAGATTGTACTCAAATTTGTTGTATAGCATGCTGTTGGGGACCGTGTTTACGAGGCCTAGTTTATGTTTGAAGGTGGTTGCTAACTTGCTCATTATTTTGTTGCAGGTGTCTCTTGTGAGAACAATGTCATTGCATAGATATTCTAGTCTGGGCATGAAGATGTGATTGATTATATATTGCATTTGCTTGTCAGTGATTCTCTTAATTCCTAGAAGTGTTCGTGTTTTTTGTATTTTTTGTTTGATCAAGGCTTTTTGGTAGTCTTTTCTCCCAGAGCTGTCATACCATACTCCAAGGATTCTAATTGGGGTACCTCTTCTACAACCTGTAATTCTTTGGTCATTCATCCATACTTCTTGTATGTAGTCATTTTCTTTGCCATTAATTATTAGGAGCTGGAATTTTTGTGGATTGACTTTGATGTTATTGATATGGAAGAATTGTTTAGCGGTGTTTATTATTCTTTGGAGTGCAGCTTTGTTGGTTGCAATCCATGTAGTGTTATCCATGTACACACTGGCTGTAATATTTATGGATCTTAAAGATCATCCTTGATCTAGATATTTATAGGTCTTGACTGCAAGTAAGTATCCTGTATGTTCGTTACTGATTTTTGTAAGAAGGGGTCATAGAAAATATGCTATAGTAGTGGAGATATGATGTCACCTTGATCTATGCCATCCCTGACTGCATATGGATTGGTGGGGCTATGGCATGTTAGGACTATACTTTGCCTATCTTTGAAGATGTTATCGAGGATTTGTATTATTTGTTCCAGGATTTTTATCCACTGGAATGCCTTTTTTAGCATTGTGATATTTACTGAATCATAGGCTTTGGACATATTCTGACTGAGAATCCAGGCTTCTTGATTTGTTTCTTTGGCATGTTCTATAATACTACTCAGGATGTGTATAGGATCTTGTGTACTGTTTCTTGATAATGCTGCCCAGTTTAGATCTGATAGTATTGGATGATCTTTGAAGACTTTGGCAAGGTGGTCTGTTATGATCTTGGGGAAGATTTTCCTTCCAGCATCCAAAAGGGTAATTGGTTTTATTATATCGAGGTTGTTTTCCCAGTCTTTGGGTTTGGGTATTGGATATATGGTTTCTTTGCTTCATTCTTTGAGGGTTGTGCCTTGTTGCAGGATGTCATTAAAGATTTCTCTCAGTTCTTCTATGGTGTTTTTCTTGAGATGTTTATAGGCACTTTATGGAATTTGATTTCTTCCTGGTGTTGATTTGTTACTTTAATTGTTAATTGTTGTTGTTAGTTCCTCAGTTGTGATCTCTATGAGAACATCTGTATACTAGCTACTTTTGATATGCAATTTAGCTTCGTATTCTTGTTGCTAGTATGGATGATTTGCTAGTGATGCTATGTTTCTAGGTGATATCCAGTTGAAGAAATGTTGTCTAACTGTTTCTTTAATTTTGTTAGGTTCTGTAATAAACTGTATATCTTTTTTTTGCTGTATGATTTTGTCAAGATGGATGTGTCGCATTGGTCTATCTAGAATACTGTTAATTATAGCTTTTTTGTTACTTTCTAGGAAAGCCTGTCAGCTTGTTATTCTTTGAGCTATAGCTTTAGCTTCTTTGCATTTTGTGATGTATTTGCCTACAGTTTTGTGAGCTTTGATGTAAGATTGGATAATCTGTATCCACTTTGTATAGTAGAGATTCTTTGATACTTTTTTGGCTTGATGTAATTCTGTGGTAATGTCAAGAAAGTGTTTTCGGATGTACGTTGGTATGACACATTCCACTTCAG